GACTTGTTTTGTTGGGAGGTGGAGGGGACTGAAGCAGACGACTCTTTCCGGCAGGACTAGCCAAGTCGAGCAGCTGGAGAAGATGAGCAGCTGCAGCGCTATAAGTTAATACAGATACAAGTTATAAGGGGACATGGCGCAAGTAGGAGCGGGCAAGATTTAAAAACACAAAGATTTGAAGGGTAGGGTGAAGGGAGGAGGGCATGGATGGCAGAGTCACGGAACGGCAACTCCAATTGTCCACAACTGCCTGTAAAGACTGCGTGTGAACCAGGACATCGCAGACCCTCGAACGATAAGGCGGCGTAGAACATGTTTTTCCATTATTAAGCCATTAAGCCATCCTGCATGGAGTTTGGTTGGTTGCAGCTAGGGTCTTAAAAAATAGGTGTTTTGGACGCTGTTTTTGGTGATGAGATTAGTGCATGGTGGTTTGTTGTGACGTGTTGAACAGTGACGTAGTGAGCTGTGGCGTGGCAAGAGTCTTGTTGGTGATGTGGAGCCCTCTGGTGTGCAATGCTACTGCTTGATGGTGCCCAGTACCTGAACTTGATCACTTGTCCCTGGAAGTGCGCCCATCCCGAACCACGTTTCTTATACCTATCCCTCTCTTGTCCTCGCACATGCACATGCGCTTTTATATGCAGATGTCTTAACATGTAAGTCTCTCTTGAGATGTACTTTGATAAACTGCACGTATATAACACCTTTACCGTATTGAAGCAGTAGCATAGTGTAAGAGTAATGTTGGTTCCGGGATGCTGCAGGCGAGTACTGTTTGGATTGTTTTTGCAACAATGCGATCAAACCTAGCAATCAACATTACAATATATATATATATACTGTCGTGCACTGACACATGTTGTGCATCGGTTGGCATTGTGTTTCGTTTCTGGAAAACTCCACCTGTTCAATGTTCAGGGCCTCTTGATGGATCTCAAGATTGAACGGACAATGGAATCGACTCTTGGCTCCAGCGGTGTTTTCTTTGGCATGTTGCACTCACTGGATACGTGTGGCCGTCCCATCGGTTCTCACATTTTGGGTTGACATGCTGTTGAAGGCTGGATGTGATGCGGATCATCAATGCACAGAACTACCGTGGGTGTGATGATCAGCCGCACAAGGACATGTTCCAGTCACGCAAAGCAACATGGCAAGCTTTTGTGGGATTCGTTACATTCAGGGAATCAAGGCAGACAAATGAGATCAACATTGAGTCGACTTCCATCACTTGATACCTTGATCAATGATTACTCGGATAGGGATATACTCCAATTTGTTCCAACTTCATTGAGTGCTATTCCTGAATTCAGCAGGACTGCTATCGACTTTGTCGAGTTGTTGCCAGCATCCCTGAAGATTTGCCGCCCAGCGTGGTTTGGATTCAGCAGGTCAACAATGACAAGGCCCGACAAGGTTTGCCACAGGTCCTTCCTCAAGGAGCAGCATTGCAGGGTTTGTTCGTTACTTTCTGTTGCTAGCCTTTGAATAGTCTGGTGGAGGAAGTGTTTATATTGGGCCTTTTCCCGTGCAAATCTTCAAGACCGAAGCGAAAGTCTAGACTGGCACTCTCAGATAAGCATGACCGAGGGTAGAAGACTTCGGGGTTAAGTTCTAACTAAGAACCTACAAGCAATTTTGCCCAGAGGGTATTGTGGGTGTGCCAAACTAGATGCTTTGTGCAGGCTGACCATGTGGTTGTGGAGATCGATTCAGTGAAATTGAACAATCTCATGATCAGAGGCACTTGATATGTGATTGACAAAGGATTCGGACACAGTTGAAGCATCTGCCACGCAAAGGGGTGTGTCGGCCTTGACGCGAAGATCATCAGAAATGATCCGAAACCGATGTGCCCGGAGTCAGGTGGCGGTGGCAACTGGTGGGATAAGGCAGGACCGAGTATTGAGGTCTTCATGCGCAACAGCACTACAATGGGTTGCGCAGCTGCATTGCACGCTAAGTACTTCCTTGTAGATGCTTCCAGTGGGCCTGGTGTGCTTCATGTGACTTGCTGGTCAGCTCATTCCACCTGAGGTTGGATGTACATTACTTTGGCCAAAGGTCAGGCAATGCTGCAGGATACCCAACACGCTTCCACTGCAGACGTGAGGTGCAAAGCAGTGCAGACACAGAAGTTTGGTCAACCTTGTTTTGCCATGCTTGCAGATGCTCATTGTTCATGCCTATTTGCTTTTGCTAACGCTAACGTAGTTTGCCAAACACTGTTGCCAAAAGGCCCTGAGGAACTAGTCAGCCTAAGAAACAGCAGGGCTGCGTGCAAACATGTGTGTTTACATGTGTTTACCCACATTGTCATCACAATCCCACATATACATTGTCATATACATCCTGTTACATTCTCTATACACAAGAGTGCGCCTTCTTTATCCTTTATTTGATAGGACACGGAGTAGCAATGGACACTGGACACTGGGCTTGAAGGAGGCAAAGGGGCAGAAAACATTGACAATCAGGAACATCCCCAGCGCTTTGGAAAGATTGGCAACCAAAGCACCAAGTCAAAGAAGCAATTGTTATGCGAGCGTGGCAAGCTACCAGTATTGGGAGGTTCGAAAAGTTAAGCTTTGCTTAATTTGCTTGGAAATGACGGACTGGCGGTGTCTTGTGGTTCTTGTGCTTGGCAACGTGGCCAGTCAATAGATATCAATGCGATTTGTCAATACAATTTTGAGCACAGAGAGGAGCGGTCCCGCACAGAAATTCGCAGTGCCACTCGCCAGAAGCATGTTGTGGGATGGCAAACGTTAAATCAAACATGCAATTTACATCATTTTACAGACAACGAAGTGCCTATGCTGATAAGCAACTTGCCGATGGCGGCTTGTTTAGACAAACCGATAGCAACTCGCATGGCCCTAATTGGATTTGGAGGGTTCAATCGCACAGCACCCATCCTAGCTGGCCAGGAAGATTGGGAGAATGCCGCTCAATCAAATGGAAGGACCACGTGCTGGATCGAAGGCAGAGAACTTGATAAATGCAGATCAAAAGGTGAGGTGCTGCGAGCATGCACCAAATCAGCAGCAAAAAGTAAAGCAACAGGAGAGCAAAGGTAAATTCTGCCAGAGAAACATCAGAAAAGAAAACATGGAAAACAAATTGAACTTGTGGAAAAATTGCAGAGAGCGAAGCAGCTGTCAAGAACGCAAGAGAAAAGACGATACCAGCAAAGACCAAGCTGGTAACGGGTGGCCCTTGGATGCAAGTCACAGAAGCATCAAAAAAACACACAACAGATAAGTCAGATAAGTAATAACACCGAAATCGTGTAAGGGCTACAGCAATTGGAGGCTACTCTAAGCCACAAGACCCAGACGCATAATTCTTCTTGACTCCTCATGAAGCAGTCGATTCATGAGGCCGTGGCGATGAAAAGCCAATGTCGATGTGCCCCCACCCGTCACCCCAACACCACCTCAAATCATCCAAATCATCAGTGCCAAATCAAGCATTTGACATGCTTGGTGGTCGGTCCGTTGCATGCATATAGATTGATGTTGGTCCGCTGTTGACCTTATGGACCTTGGAATCAATTGTCGGGTGCTTTCAGTAAAGCAGGTCCGATGGAAGTGTGACAATGCGGGAAGTACGTCACACCGGACCAATCCTGCTGAACTGGCGACAGCCAAACAACCAGGCAGGAATTGGGGAGTGGCAATTTGAGACAGAAGCATGGACACGGTCTGGAATTGAAAGTTCAAAGAAGGGAGCGCCACGCTAATGATTCTTGCTTTCTTTCACTGTGAGGCTTGCATGGTGGCAGATTCAAACGAGTTGGTTCTTCCAGATGAGAAGCTTGGAGACAGTTGTTGAACCGAATCGTTCCCGTTCCCATGCAACATGTTCATATGATACATATGCGTTTTAAACAGATCCTGATAAAAGGAGTAAGGATATATACAGTAATGAACCTTAATGCCAAGCTCTTCTCAGGAATGGCGAGTTCAACTTGTGCGATTCACTGTATCACAAGAGCAATTTTCAGACCTTCTACGATACCAGCCGCCCGGTATTGGAGCAATGATTGAATTCAATCAGGAAAAAGCTTTGATAGAACCAAAGGACTAGCGCTGGCTGTTCAACAGGGAAGAAGTGCAGTCTTTTCTGAGAACCTGAACTGACGTAGCTGCAGAAGCTTCTCAATATAGTCAATGCTTCAGGCAAAGACTTCTTTTTGGACCGGGCAGAGTTTGGTGCTGCACTTGTGGGGATGCCGTACTGCTGCGGAGGTTCCAAAACAAGACGAGATAATGCAAGAATTCTGATCCACACGTTGGTTTGCACGTTTTGATGCGCAGCTTGAGAGATTGGAGGCATTGCTATGAACCCGTCGCTTTACTATTCATAACTTTGCAGTTTTACTTGCTGCACACTTTGCCAGGCTCTTGTCCACACTCCTCTTGGTGTGATGGCACGCTCTACAAAGTCTTTGATTTCGGCAGCTCGACGGGCGCTTCTTTTGCCAACAGGGCAGAGGTACTCAGCGCCAACACGGTGTTTGACAAGCTCAAGTCCCTAGGCCCGGCAAACTTTTTAAAGAATGAGTGAAAAAAGAAGCTTTTGTGTTTAAGAGGCAAAGAGAAGTGCAGAAAAGTTGTAACAAGATAGGACAAGTAGGTATAACAGGTACAAAACGAACCTACATGTTTTTCTTGTATAAAGCACCTCAACCTTACAATGATTTCGCCTTCTCGAAGGGTGGGCTGGGATGATACCCTACTGCTTCCGCGAAGCGAAGCTCATGCAACCTACAAGCCCCTGGGAAGAGCATGTGTTAGCACTGCTTTCAAGTTTTTGTTGGAGGACAGATTCGGAAGACAAGACTTGAAATCGCTGAGACGGGAAAAAGACAGGAAACAAGGCATGGTTCCTCATGGCACTTGAAATCGCTGCATTGCATTTTGCTCCAGCTGAGATCGTGTGCGATTGGTCGAGGGCTGGCCATCCTTCGTCCCCTGGGCGGGCGACGCCACAGCACCAAGTCCCTCTCCTTTTGCAGCTTGCATTCGACACGCTCAGTGCACGACCGGATGGGCAAATGGAAAAACAGAGAAGGGGTGAGTGGGCAAATTTGTAATGTTACAAGGTGCACAGGAAAGCGTTGCCAACGGGTTGAAATTGTGCAATGTATGTATGTCTGTGTATACATATATATATATATATATACGTTGATGAGAACATGGCTTGCTGGCAAAATGCCTCTATATAAGTATGATGACAAGCGCATCCCCCTCATTTGCGTTTTTGTGCTGCGCCCTTGATGGCCTTTGCAGGACTGGCTATTGCGACAATGAGACGTCACAATGTGCGCCACATCCCGATGTCACCAATCTGGTTTCATTAAAGCCAGTGACAGCTTGACACAGGAAGGAGAAAAGGTTCAAGCCAAGTCAATACTCGTTATCACTTTGCACCGTCGTTGTTTGTGGTGGTATGCCGGTATGCCTTAGTACCCGCTTCTTTTGGACAGCTCAGGTGACCTTTCAGGTTGTGTCAGGTAATTGGACAAGTCCCGAGCTCAAATTCCAACGAATCTTTGAGTCTAGACTTCAGCCCCATGAGTTCTTTTAGCAATGTTGAGACCCGGAAGGCAGAAAGAATTGCAAGCGGTGTTGGTTTTTAATGAGAAGGGCAAGTGCTTCCATGCGCATATGTGCTCAATGGTTCATCCTCACATTGGTGCACCACTCATATGATATGTCTCACGTGTGTGCTCTCATGTTTTTGTGCCCGTGCTGATTCGTGTGTGTGCGTGTGCTCCTTGGCGTACTGTGTGCTCATATTACAGAGATCCTCATTGAAATCTACCTTGGAGTCGCTTGCGAGTGATAAACGTTTCATGACGTTTGTTTTTTGGGCATTTGCTTCTGCTTGTTTGTATTCTGATCTCGATCGGAGCTCACAGTGTTACAGTGGCGAAGGAATGCAGAGAAGGTGAAAGAAAGCAAGCGCTTTTACAGCAACCCCTTGGCCTTGTGATCTCACGACAAGCCTCCGGGTTTCCTTGCATTTTCTGTTCTGACCCAGAGAATCTCCATTGACAAGAATACACTGACTTCATCTGACTTCCTATGAGATTTTCGACTGTGAATCTCGTGCTTCTGCAAGGAGTTCCCACATTCTGAAACCAAATCTCTTTGTTCTCAATCAAGAGCTTAGTCAAACAAACCTCCTTCCCTACCTAAGCCGCTCCGTTCTCACTCATCCAAGTTCTTTTTTCTGTTGGCTAAGCCTGAGCGTAGTTTCCCTGCTTGTGTAAATGCAAGCAATTCCTTCGTAAGATTCATTTGAGCAACAACCTACAGTAAGGGTTTGTGCACAAATCTTTATGTGAGGGGAACTATTTCATTGAAATCAAAAAAACTGTAAAGCAAATTAGTGAACTCCAAAAAGCGAATTAGAGAACTCAATGTAATTACGCTTCAATCATTTGATTCAAATCATTCCATTTCTGTTTCTTGGCGTTTTCCCTTTACATGAAGCGATACCAAAGCGATACCCCTGGATGATCAAAATGTGGTCTAGTGATCCACTTTTGTATCATGTTCGTATCATTTTCGCAGTCTGTGGAGTTTGCCACAGATGAAGAGCTCTAGAAAAAGAACCGCATAGAAGGGGGAAGGGAGCGCGGATGTGTGAATGGAAAGCTCTCTCTCTCTCTCTCTCTCGCTTCTTTCTTTTTCTCCCACTACCCATATCCATGCGCTTCACTTTGGCTATGTTTTCAAGAGAAATCCTCAAGAAATATGACAAAGGAATCCGCACCCTGTAAGGCGATATAGCGAACTTCCAAAAGCGATACCAACATATGGAGTATACCAAATTGTATGATACATGTTGGCGATCGCTCATTTGGCTTGTGCACTACACCAAAAGCTTACCTGAGCAAATCCAGATGCTCGTCGAACAGATTGCCTATGCTTGCCACTGGATGGTGCTTGCAGGTTCCCTTTCAATTTCACTGTCTCCAAAAAGTCCTGCAAGGTTGAAAGTTTAAACTCCTTGTCGAGCGACATGTCTTCTTTGGCCCATTGTTCTTTGTTCTGAATCGGTCAATAAAGCACTTTCCAGTTTGATCTCCAGCCGTCAGGCACCAAATCCCTTTTGGATGTTTTGTCTCTTTTTGCTGGAGATGTGTCCACTTCTTTTGTCAGGCTTCCCCTGCTCTTGGTGTCCTATGTTTCTCCTTTTGTCTCCCACTCTTGCAGTTTGACATGAGCAGATGCGAGATTGGTTTGCGAAGTGAAGATGACAACGGAGAGGACTTGAGTTGACGGAGAAATCATGGCAATCTGCAGGAAAAAAATGATCCTCGCTCTCGAACTGACAGGTTGTGACAAGCCATGTGGCGGAGGACAACAAACTCGAGAGATGGTATGCTTGGGCTCTGATGGTCTGAAGTACCCTTCGCTGCTTGAATGCAGACGAGGCAACTGTCAGGAATCAACCATGAAATGTGAGTGAAAGCCACCAGAGTTGCAATCCAAGGTATTTGTGCCCAGGCGACTTGCCTGATCCACGTGAGCTTCTTGTGCCAAAGCCCACATTCCTCCCAAACTTTTTCTCGTGGGCACACATGTTCTGAGTGCTCAGGGCCCAGGCTCAACACATGAAAGATTTTCAATCATGGATGCTGGGTTAGATCTAAGTGAACCTGTTCCCGCGCACACAGAGAAGCTTATATACTTAACCTGTCCGTCGGAAGCCAACTCTTTCTTGGAAGGTTTCAGTTCCTTTCAAGTCAGCCTTTATGCCTTACTTTAGCCAGGTGCTTCGAGATTGTTTTGCTATGTGTTGCTTGACGTTTGACCACATTGCAATCTGAAAAATAGCCAACCAGAAGTTTCTCCCCTCGTTTTGGCAAGCTCCCTAAAGAGCCAACAAGAAGCAAGCGCAGTAGGGCGTTTGTTGTTGTAATTTGTAGTTATGCGCTGATGAGAGTAGCCGAGTTTAGCTTAACTCTGAGCTAAGATGCAAGCTATAAAGGTTACATGACAATGCCTGTAGCAGCTAAACAGGAAGCGCATTAAGCTAGCTGACTTAGGCAAGTTCTAAGCAAGCTAGGTGCCGAGCAGGCAAGCTTTATAGACTCTATAGACCATAGACTATAGACGACTCTATGTGTGCTAGCCCCAAACATGCTTTGACTTTGGGTATCATCAGCGATTCAACCGCTCCTTTGATGCAAAAGAACACAGCTCTCCACAAGAATCCCTTTTGGACAGAATACATGGCTGAAAGATGCTGAAATATGTTGTGCGAATGGTCGGCACATTATGCTTGGGGAACATTTTTGCAGGGACGGTCAATCATTAGCTTTGAGACAGGTCAGACGATGCGACCGTGGCCTTCAGGTGGTCCACCTATCCATGAGGGCTTTGTTTCAATGGTAGACTTGACGCCCTTATTGTTGGCGCTTTGGGTTTCCACTTTGCATGACGGAGCTCGGCATGTTGCTCATGTTCAGAGTAGCCAAAGCAGATCACGCAGCCCAGGCTGGCTCTCCAGCGTAGAGGTGCAAAGCTGCAACACAATGGCCTGCAATTTGCCAGATGTGTCTCGACATCCATTTTGCAGTGACATGTTTGCCATTGCACAGCCTTCCCCTCCCCCTGCAGCATTAGAGTCGTGCACACCATACACAAGGAAGCTCCTGTTAGAACATGAATGATGTCACCCTGCCTTGCCCAAGTTTCAAACGCAAAGCCAAGCTTGCCCAGGGATCTTGACTTCACGATGCCTTTGGGCCGGATGTTCACCACACACTTTCCGTGTTCAATTCTTGGTTTATTTAAGGGGCTTGCGCCCAACAGCGGGCCAGCAGAGTGTTCAGTGAAAGCAGATTGTTGTTGTAGTGGTTGTTGTCGATAGGAGGCCGACGCAGACCAACCTGTCTCTGTGCAAGACAGGGGCTGGGGGGTAGGGCACCCAGGCATACCCAGGCAGCATTCTGTGCAAGAAGCTGCAAGCAAATGTGGAGGCTGACCGCCCTGACAGAGGCAACTCTCTGTCGGTCGGGAGAGCCATCGAAGACAGGAAAAATTGTTACGGTGAGCTGCCGCTGAAACGGGTGCAAGCAGCCATTGATTGCATGGGAAGCAAGCAACTCCCTGTCAAAGGTCAGGAGAGCTGTCTAACACAAAAAATCCGGTGGCGAGGTTGCGTTTGCTCTTGTTGGTGGCGGTGGTGTTGTTGGTGTTGGCGGTGTGGATGATGTTGTTGTTGCTGTTAGCAGAAACAGAACCAGACACAGAAAACGCAAGTAATGCAAAGCAACTTGGGCGGCATAACTCTGCGATTCGTCTCCACACCCTGCGGGTAGCCGCCTTTTGGCAGCGGTCCTGCGGACCTGCCAGGGCCACCACCCCTGCTGGCCCGATCTTCCGCCCCGCGCCACCGACCCCAGTGAAGCTCTTGAGAATCTTCATGCATCACAGTTGCTGGGGCAAGATCCCACCATCCAGCGTAAACGCAAATCCCCCTGCCCCTGACAGTGCTTGGTTGTAGGTTGCTGCTGGCTGCTGGTTCTTGATTCTTGTTTGTTGCTGCTTGTATTGTAGTTCGTGCTGTTGTCCTGCTTGCTCATACAAACCTTTCGCGCAACGCATTTTTCTCTTCTATGCGCGTTTCTCTTCACTTCCTCCTTTTCCGCTTCCTCTAAGTTTTATTCCTCTTGCTTTGGAACCTCGTTGTGAGGCAGTAACCAACTACAGCTTTGGTTTGGACATGGACAGAAATGGGCAGGGAAGAGGGCAGAAGGTGGAAAGGGAGCAAGTGCAATATTTGGAGAAAGACGGTTGGCTTCTTGCTTTGTGTAGTTGGTAGTTGATTTGCACCCAACGCATCTCTGTGACGCATTGTAGAACACAGTTGCTGTTTGAAGGACTTACGGCCTGATTGGATAGATATCACTGCAACTGGGACGCTTCCCAGCGGTGCCACTGCCTTGCAGATTCGCCACTTGAAACAAACGGAAGCGTGGGCGAAACGAATGGGTTTTCTAGAACATGTGATATTCTTTTTCACACTTGATTGTGCTATTATAAAAGCGCAGTGTTCTGTGGGGGGTAAGCCAAAATCTCCGCCACATCCAAAGTTTGAACACAACCGCCCGAACCCTCAAGAGCAAGTGAAACGCCGAAGCAGAACGCGACAGGCTTGCTAGACGCCCCAGGACTGGGAATGACTTTCCCTCCTAGGACGTGAGCCATTATTGTTCGCCTTTGAATAAAAACAGCTTCGCAGTGTCAAACTGATTCATACTTAGTAGTTTTATTGACTGAAACTTGAGTGTCAATAATTCGCTGGAATGTGGTTTGGACTGAGATCAAAACGGAATGCTGGGCTCGCAAAATGTCGCAGGTCTTGGAAGTTCCACAGGCGCCATGCTGGAGAGCATAATCGACGACGTTCTCGAGAACGAGTGTGTTCTCACTATTTGCACGCTGAGGGCGCAAGCACAGGTGGGCCCGGCAGAAGCAAGATGAAGCAAGCACGTATCCAAGGCAAGAAAGGCATACGGATGTGCTTTCACATTAATTAAAGTACTTTGAATATACACGTCTCGCAATAGCATGCAAGATGAGCGAAAGTGGTAGTCCCAAGATCCTTTGGGTTCGGAGTTTGCTTTTTGGCATCGTTGCCGCTCGCCTTCACCATATCAGCCTTGGCTGTACTTTGTACGATTTTTTGCATTCAATCTTCAGTGTACACTCATCGGTGCTAGCCGCTAGAGCCTTCTTTGCATTTCCATCCTGGGGCTGTGTGATGGGTTCACAACAGCAAGTTCCATTCCCAGTCTTCCTGTTCTTTACTTAAATCTATTTACATATTGTAAATATACAGTATATATATATATATATTAGTAATTTAAGTCTTTGTTTGGTGTTCTTTTGCACACGTGCTGTGGGTGTTCAGGTTTTCTTGTCACCGCTTTGTGCTTTCGCGCTGGATGTGTTCTTGTTCTCCTTGAGCACACGAAAAGTTGTTCTGACACGGCGCGCACCTGACTCCTTGTTTTTTACCGTTGCACGGCCCGAAGGTCTTGTGACACTGAAGGACTCCTGTTTAGGGTCCAAGTGAACCTTGTCAAAGAATTCACCCACCGACATAGCCAGCCCCATCACACTACCGCTTTCCATGGAATGCCAGGACGAAATGGTTCGAAGGCCCAGAAGACGTTGGTTAGCTGCCCATTCGTCCCATGTTCCCATGTTTTCATCGTCCGTAGACGGTACACGCTGTGGACTGCTGACTGCCACATTCAAGCGTGGTGGACGTGCCTTCGGGTATACAGTCAGCAACTGCCCAGCATCATCCCTCCCACCAAGCACATGCCATGTAGCTGGTCACACATTTCGATCATGCCATTGCCTAACCATCACTAGGAAAAGACCGCAGTTCCGCCACCATGAAGTGACACGGCCCTATAGCACCAACATGAGTTGTCTTCCAGACGGAGGCGCAAATCGGCAGCTCAGCGGTGGGGTGCTCGGTGTCCCGCAGATCATGAAGAAGAGCCATACCTACAGCAAATTGTTTGGGACCAACATTTGCCTTTGGCTTTCACGTGAATTGTGATGGAGTCCCCATGGTTCGGCATCATCTCACAACAGCATCGGTCCTTCTTGACAGAGAACACTCGCCATCCGGCCACACACTACGTTTCACTCCAAGCTTCACATGGAGGGGTACCAAGCCACAACGTATCCAGCAACTGCTACTGCTTTCCGCTGGGCTTGCGCTGCTGGATTGCGCATATCACATGCTTTGTGGTCGCAGGCCACATCCAGTGGAATGATCTGGCGAGACACATCCCATGCCTGCAAAAGAATTGATGCTGACACACATCACGCTCTCTTAGGACCTGCCCGAGCAACCTTGTACCAAAATCAATTTCAGGCCCAACGACTCTTAGCAGCAACATCAAGAGGCGCTCTCAAATCCTCAACAACCAATCTGTTGGAGTATCCAATCATCGGGAAGCAAAGATTGACTGCCCATCTCTGATACATAGTTGTCGTTCTTAGCCTTGCATCAGTTTGCATCATCACATCTTCATCACCATCTGCCACGAGGGCGCTGATGGCCGCAGAATGTGAGCCACGGAACCCTGCTGTTTGGCGCGGTGGAAGACCATGAAGAATATGTTTTCCCGAATGCGTAGCGAAGGGTTCTCGTTTAACTCTGGGGGTCTGGGGGTAGGACCTTGTTCACGACGCGTTGTTTCAGCGTCCGCAACCGTCTGTGGTAGAGCGCTAAGGCGCTGCCATTGGGGGAAGCTTTTGGAGAGGGTTTCGGAGGGAAACGTGACGTGTCAGATTAGTGTGCAATAGCGTGGAAACGTGTGGAAATGTAAGATGCTGAAGTGTGGAGGATGATTGTGTGGCGCAAACTTTGTTGAAGCTCACATGATATGATATTGTCACTTTTCGTGTCAGGTGCAGTACTTTGCGCGGGCTTTGAGGTGTGGAAGTGCGATTTTCGTGGCAGGCGCAGGGAATCGTGAAGTTCCGAGGTGTGACGGAGGTGACATTTCGTGGCAGGCGCAGTACCTAGTTAGAGTGGACGCGGAAAGATTCGTGGCAGGCGCAGGGAATCGTGAGGTTGTGAGTTGTGGTAGAGGCGAATGTCGCTGTGACATTGGGATTGGTGTGTGAGCGGGTGTTGTTTGGAGGGGCTGGAATCGCGAAACTGCTTGGCAGGGCTGCGTGATGTGAGGAAGTCTCGTAGGAAACGCTTGTTTTGGAGACTTGACATGTGACTGTTGGAGGAAGTCTCGCACGAAGCGCTCGTTTTGGAGATTGCACGCATAACTTTTGGAGGGAATCTCTTACGAAACGCTTGTAGTGCTGGGGGCAGATCGCGTGGCGACACGACGTTCGTGATGTCACAGTGCCATGCGGGCTTGCGCGGCCTTGGCTTGGTGGAAAGTGCGTTTGCGTGGCACCGTGTCACAGGGGAGCACGAAACACGCTGGTGTAAACGCGGCGTGTCGCTGGTGAGCGGGATGATTGGTGGTATATCATGTGATATATGTTTGCTTTTTGTGTGCGGTGGACCGTGTGGGGAAATTACGTTCGTGATGTCGCAGTGCCACGCGGATTTGCGCGGCCTTGGTGGAAAGCGCGGCTGCGATGCGCCGTGTCACTGGGGAGCGCGAAACATGCTGGTGTAAACGCGGCAGGTCGCTGGTGAGCGACTAGAGCGTCCCACAACAGTGTCCTAGAAGAGTGTCCCACAACAGTGTCCCGTAAGAGTGTCCCACAACAAGAGTGTCCCATAAGAGTAGCCCACAAGAGTTTCCTACAAGAGTGTCCCGAAATAGTGTCGCCACAAGAGTGTCCTACAAGAGTGTCCCAGAAGAGTGTCCTGTAAGAGTGACCCACAGTGTGAGCGCCAAGAGTGTCCACGAGATTGTTCCGTGAGAGTGCCCCAGCAGTGACCCACCGGTCCCACAAGAGTGTCCCACAAGACTGTCCCATAACAGTGTTCCACAAGAGTGTCCTGTAAGAGTGAACGACAAAAGTGCCCTACAAGAGTGTCTCACAAAAGTGTCCCACAAGAGTGTTCCAGAAGAGTGTCCGACAAGAGTGCCCCGCAAGAGCGGCCTATGAGAGTGTCCCACAAAAAGTGTCCTACAAGAGTGTCCCACAAGAGTGTCCCGTAAGAGTGTCCGACAAGAGTGTGAGAGCCAAGAGTGTACCAAAAGAGTGTCCTGGAAGAGTGTCCCACAAGATTGTTGCGTGAGAGTGTCCCACAAGAGTGACCCACAAGAGTGCCCCACAAGAGTGTCCCACAA